AAGATCTCATTCACCTTCTCTCTCTGTATCTCTGCCTTTCAAATTAAAAAAAAAAAAAAATCTTAAAAAAAGTCTTTAATATAAATTTATAGAACATATGGAAATTATTTTGTAAGATATGAAAATATAAAGAAGTAGAGGCTCTGGCATAGTGAGGTAGTGATCTAAGCAGCCACCTGCAACCCCAGAATTGCATATGAGAGCACCAGTTCAAGTCCTGGCTGTTCTGCTTCCGATCAAGTTCCCTGCTAATGTGTCTGGGAAAGCAGCAGAAGATGACCCAAGTATTTGGGCCTTTGCACACCCATGTGGGAGACCTAGTTGGAACTCCGTACTCTGACCAGCCCCAGCCTGTGGCCTTTGGGGGAGTGAAGCATAGGATGGAAGATTTCTTTCCTTCTCTCTCTCTCTGTCCCCCTGTAATTCTGCCTTTCAAATTAGTAAAAATAAATACTCCAACAAAAATTTTAAAAAAACTTGAACTTGTATTAGTAAAATGGTTTATGAAATCAAGTTTAAAAAATAAATGTGAAATATCTTGATATTTGTATAACTTAATACTTGATGTAAGAAAAATATTTATATCAATATGATAAAAAGTTTAATAGACCAGGAGACAATGTAGAATAGGTAAGAACACAGGCCTTCGACCTAGACAATGCTAGGACTAATCTTAGCTCAGCCATTTACAAGCTCCCACCCTCAGGTAAATCACTTCACTTCTATCTTTCACTGAGCCTTGGGTTTTTCATCCTTAAAATTAAGATGAGAAAACATACTTTGTGAGGATTAAATGGCAGAATCTATAAGAAATGATTATCTCTGGAACTGGGAAATGACAAACACTCAGTAACAGATGGTAATTACTATTTTAGTGAATACACTAGAATATACTTATGTGAGAAGTCTGGAGACTGACCTGTTCCAAATTATAAATATATTTCCAGAATTTACATTCCATAACTCAAAACGTGTTTCTCTTTTAGTGTTAGTGAAATAGTTTTATATCCTGGATGCATTTGCTTATTATTTTCTTTCCATTTTATAGATTAAGGAAGAGAGTAAATAGAATTTTCAAATTGCTTCTGACTGCTTTAAGAGGGTTGTCATGCAGTACAGCATACAAATATCTAGATCTTGTGCATATTATGTAAATTAATCATTCTTGAAACCATGATGACCTTGAAATTCAAGAAGGAACGTAATGTTGTCTAGCAAGCTTATGTGTTTCCCTAGCCCATTCAACCTCTCAATTTTCCAAACCACTTTTCCAACCTCCAATACCTTCTTCCCTGTTGTTACTGTTGACCTTGCTTACTTCTTTACTGAAAAACTAAAATAACCACTAAAGAACTTGTGTAAATGTTTACCCCCATTAAGAGGAACCTAAGAGAATTTTCCATTACTTTTCAGTCATTATCTTACATTATTTTCCAACTACTTTAATAAATTCAATATTCTCTCCCAAGTGACACATTTTCTACAGTCTCTTGTTTTTATGCTGTATTACCAGTCATATCTTGCTGGTTCAAATTCTTTTTAAAAAAAATATTTACTTTATTTATTTGAAAGACAGAGTTACACAGAGAAGTACAGACACAGAGAGAGAAAGTTCTTCCATGCACTGGTTCACTACCTAAATGGCTGAAGCTGAGCTGATCTGAAACCAGGAGCCAAGAGCTTCTCCTGGGTCTCCCACATGGGTGCAGGGGCCCAAGAACTTGGGCCATCCTCCGATGCTTTCCCACATTTGCAGGGAGCTGGATCAGAAGTGGAGCAGTTGGGACTTGAACCGTTTGCCAATATGGGATGCTAGTGCTGCAGGCCGGGATTTTAACCCGCTGCACCACAGCCCTGGACCCTCTGGTTCAAATTCTTCCACCTAAAATTCTCTAAAATTGAAATGCTATAAGACCCATTCCTTATCCCTCTCTCTTCTTTTTCAAAAGTCATTCCTTTGGTGATTTCATTTGGTCTCTTGATTTTAAGTAACATCCATATTCCTACAACTCTCAAATACATGTGTCTACCCTAAAGCTCACTCTTCAATTACACTCTTTTGTCTCACTAGCAAACACTTCTATACGAATGTCTGATAGACATCCTGATAGTCATGTTCAAAACAGATCAAGAAATCTTCCCCACACATCTACTCCATGACAGCCTTCTTCATTTCAAGTTAGGCAGCTCTAACCTGCCAATTTCTCAGAGGAAAGCCCTTAGAAATATTCTTCTTTACCCCTGTCTTCTCTCAAACTCCACATTCAATTTCTCAGAAACCCCAAGTTTGTTAGTTCATTCTGAGCTTCCATCAGATACTTTTTCTTATATAAACTGAGTCCTGAAATATGTTTTACTTTTTAAAAAAACTATCAAATATTTGTGGGAAAATACAATGTGATTAATTATGACTTTAAATAATTAAGTATATTACTATTAACTATACTCCAATAGACAGACAGACAGACATAATCACATTAAACAAAATCCCTGGAAAGAATGTTTCTTCTGAAACTAATGTAAATCAAAATAACAACTTTCCTATAATCATTAAGAAATATCAATATTCCCAATATATTCCTCTGAAACTCAATAATTTTAATATCTGGGGGTGGGAAGGAATAAACAAATTCCATGTAAACTATATAAAATGTATTAACTTCAGAAATGTTCAAAATATTCTATAAAATGTATCTCAAAACAGAAGAAATTCTGCAGAATGGCACAGTAATTCTTTGAAAACTTTGAACAAAAGTGCCATGACCTGCGTGGTAATAACAGTAGATAACAGTAGTAGTTCTAAACACTTCAACATGATCAGGTTTTTTTAACTTTTTTTTTTTTTTTTTTTACTTAAGGTAAACAAATATCACATATTTCACATATACAGATTTAGGAACACATGCTACTTCCCAGCCTATGTTCCCCCTGTCCTTGCTCCCACCCTTCCTTCTCCTTGCTTTCTTATTCCCTCTCAAGTTTTACCATGACCTACTTCCGGTTTACTTTATATTCATAAGATTAACCCTACACTAGGTAAAGAGTTCAACAAATAGTAAGAAGGAAAAAAGAATATTGTTCTCCAATAGTAGAGGCCAGGGCTATAAGTAATTATTGAATTTCAAAATGTCAATTTTACTCCAATACATTACATGTTAGGTTATCTATTAGTTACCACAGATCAGGGAAAACATATGGTATTTGTCTTGTGGGGTGGGGACTGGCTTATTTAACCAAGTATAATGGTTTCCAGTTGCATCTATTGTGTTGCAAAAGACAGGATTTCATTCCTTTTTATGGATCAGTAATATTCCATACTGTGTGTGTATGTCTGTGTGTGTGTGTGTGTGTGTGTACACAATTTTTTTATCCAGTCAGCAGTTCATGGATATCTGAACTGAGTCCATATCTTAGCTATTATGAATTAAGCCTCAATAAACATGGGGGTACAGATAACTCTTCCCTAAGCTGATTTCATTTCTATTGGGTAAATTCTCAGGAGTGGGACTACTGGGTCATATAGTAGGCCTATTTTCCACTCTCTGAAGTATTGCCATACTGTGTTCCACAATGGCTATACTAGTCACATTCCCATCAATAGTGGTTTAAGGTACATTTTACCCCACATCCTTGCCAGCATTTATTGTTTTCAACATGATCAGTTTTAATTCTCACAGCAACCATATGAAATAGGTACCACGATTATCCCCAGATTTCACAAATGAATAAAAATAGGGTTGAAAAAGCTATGAGAGCTACCCAATGCAGTCAGCAGGATATGTTTCCAGGTTATCTGACTGTAGAACTTGTGCTTCTGAGCCTTACACTAGACTAATGATAGAAGGACACCACAGTAGTTCCAATGTTGTGGCTTAATGGGTAAAGCCGCTGCCTGCAATACCAACATCCCATACAGGCACCAGTTCATGTCCCAGATGCTCCTCTTCTTATCTAGCTCCCTGAAAATGGTCTTAGAAAAGCAGAAGATGGTCCAAATGGTTAGGCCCCTGCCATCCACATAGGAGACCCAGAAGAAGTTCCTGGATCTTAGCTTCAGCCTCACCCATTCCTAGCCATTGTAGCCATCTGGGGAGCGAATCAGAGGATAGATGATCTGTATGTGTGTGTGTGTGCGTGTGTGTGTAACTCTTTCAAATAAATAATCTTACTATTTTTCTTTAAAAACAAAAAAAAAAGAGACCACAGTAAGAACAACCAAAATTCCAGAAGTCTACATAAACTTCAAAATTTAAGAGCAAGTAGTTGTTAGGGATGCTTTATTATGGATTTGGAATAATGGAAACTATCTCAATCTCACTAATCTTTTCAAGAAATCTGTCTAAGCAATTAATTCATGAGCTAAATTTTCTTACCAAAATCTAAAAATCAGTAAGTAACTAGAGAAAATATCTAGTCCAAATAAGCAAGAAATGCAACACCATTAAAAGAGAATGTTTGGCTATTAAGTGTGTGAGTACATGTGTGTATATGTGTGTAAATATACAAATAACCCAAAGGTAAAAAAATTTTATTTTGTTAAATATAACATTGGATAGAAATGGACAAAAATATTAAGACTGACCCACTGATTTACCCTGCAATTTTTATTCATTCTTCATTCCTCAATATCAAAGGAGGAAATTATACTGAAAAGGTGTCAACTACCCCAACTAACAACAGGAAACCTTCTTTCATTAATCAATGTTGTGTTCAATTGTTAACACTGTCAAGAAGCAATGGGAGAGAGAGAGATCAGAAGGATGATTTGCTATCACGAGTAACTTATTAAAACTGCCAAGGAGATGCAGAAAAAGAACATGTGAATAAAACAGGTAAACCAAAGACCCCATAAAGTAGCGAGGCACTTTCTACCTATGAATATACAATAAAGTCAAAGCTTTGGAGTAGTTATGTTGTGTGAAAAGGCAATAATGACCATGACCAATCTAAACATAATATGATACGAAATAAGAGAAAATAGCAATGATTTAATTTCTTACTTCTTTGCTCTTTGCAACTTCAGCAATTGCAGCAGTCCTTTGTTTTTCAAATTCATCATTATCATTTGTAGGTTTGACAGGCATTGTAACTTGCAACGTCTTTCTTCGGTCAAGTTCTTTGCTATCCACTTGAACATGAGACACACACTTCTGGTAAAATAAATAAAAATAAGTCAGTGTTTCCAATAAAGATTCAATATTTCATGAGAAAGTAAAATTTCTTTAAAAGAAATGTTTATATCTCTTAAAATAGCTTAGAGGTCACAAAACTACAATTCTATCCTGTAGATACGCCAGGGCAGTGGCATAGTAGGTTAAGTATCTGCCTGCAACAACAACATCCCATATGAGTGCCTGTTCAAGTCCCAGCTGCTCCACTTCTAATCCAGCTCCCTGCTGATGGCCTGGGAAAGCAGTGGAAGATGGTCCAAGCGCCTGGGTCCCTACACTAGCATGGGAGCTCAGGAAGAAGCTCCTGGCTCCTGACTTCGGATTGGTGCAGCCCCGGCCATTGCAGCCATTTAGGGAGTGAATCAGCAGATGGAAGACTTCTCTCTCTCTCTCTCCCTCTCTCTGTCTGTAACTATGCCTCTCAAGAAAATAAATAAATATCTGAAAAAAATTTTAAAAAAGGTAGAAAACTGATTTAATTTCCTCTTAAATAAATGTAACTACTAAATACAAGTAAAAGCTGTAGAAAAATGTGGTCATGTAAACCAGGGCACAAATGAGGGGTTTTCAAAAAGTTAATGGGAAATGCATATTACAAATAAAGAATACATGGATTTCAAAATTATTGTGCATCTCAAATACTTATCTTTTAAATGCATTTTCCCATTAACTTTTTAAGGACCCTGTGTTTAAAGCATATATTGCAACAAAAGATATAGGTTTCATTTTAGAGTAATAATTTAAAATAATTTTAGATTTTAAACAGTCTAATGCACAAGAAGAGGTAGATTTAGTCTTGCAATTATGAGCCTAATTTCCACATTATGTCACAATATCCGTATATGAGTTGGATAGGACAGTTATTTTAATAAATGAAAAGGCATCTCTGCATTTAATGAACCAAAAGCTAAAAATACTCTGTCCCTCAAACTATAAAGTTTTTTAAGTCTCATAAAATAAATTAAGAAAGGCATTACTTGCCTAAAAATAAATCCTGAGTTTTGGTCTCCACACCATTTTTACCAATAAAATTCCTATCAAATGTACCTTTTCTCAATTCATTAATAAAAAGGAGATCTTTGCAAACAAAGGTATTACATACATATTTATTCAGCAGTATAAATAAATCCTTTTGATACCAAAACACACACACACAGCATTATCTATCTTTTAACCTAGATAAAGGGCTGCAATATGCTGTGTAAGAACTTTTCAGAGTGGGCCAGCACCGTGGCATTATAGGCTAAGCCTCCACATGCAGTGCCGCCATCCCATATATATGGGTGCCAGTTCTCATCTCAGCTGCTCCGCTTCTGATCTAGTTCTCTGCTTATGGCCTGCCTGGGAAAGCAGTAGAAGATGGCCCATGTGCTTGGGTACCTGCACCCACATGGTAGACCCAGAAGAAGGTCCTGGCTCTGGATTGGCCCCACTCTGGTCTTTGTGCCCATTTGGGCAATGAAACAGCAGATGGAAGACCTTTCTCTCGTCTCTCCCTCTCTCTGTGTGACTCTAGCACTCAAATAAATAAATTTAATTTTTTTTAATTTTTCAGAATGAACTTTGTAAACAAATATTATTGTAAGTCTACCTTTTGTTATACTTCCTAACCCAAAAAAAAGCAGCACAGTACCCTTCAATTTCTTGAAAATAACTAGATCATAAGTTTCCCTGGGGAAAAAAAAAGTTGATAAGTCAACTTAAATAATTTATAAGAAGAAACATTATCAAGAAATTTTTTTTTTTTTTGACAGGCAGAGTGGACAGGGAGAGAGAGAGAGACAGAGAGAAAGGTCTTCCTTTTGCCATTGGTTCACCCTCCAATGGCCGCCACAGCTGGCGCGCTGTGGCTGGCACACTGAGCTGATCCGAAGGCAGGAGCCAGGTGCTTCTCCTGGTCTCCCATGGGGTGCAGGGCCAAGCACTTGGGTCATCCTCCACTGCCTTCTTGGGCCACAGCAGAGAGCTGGCCTGGAAGAGGGGCAACCGGGAAAGAATCCGGCGCCCCGACCAGGACTAGAACCCTGTGTGCCAGCGCCGCAAGGCGGAGGATTAGCCTAGTGAGCCGCGGCACCGGCCTTCAAGAAAATTTTTAATGGAAAAGTAAGTTCTTATAGAAAAAGTATTTCTTATTTTCAACTATATGTTATTAGACTCTGTTTTCATTCTGTAAGAATACCAACATGGATCACACCACAGGACTTCCTATATCCTTTCATTTAGGTCTTTGTTCAAAAACACACAATTAATATCAACATATTTTAAAAATACTTTCAAATTAACCATGCTGCAAGTATGACTAATTTTGAGGAGACTTTATGAAAATGGCTTTTGAAGAGAATGGCAGTCAACTGATTATTTATCTTTTGATCTAGATTTTTTTTCATTCTAAAACTTAAAGACACACACACATACACACACACACACAACAAACCTTCTTGAAATATAGGTCTCTGTTTCCTACCTGTTAGATCTCTAACTTGTCTTCACTCTCAGCACACTCAAGGAAAAAAGCAAATACAAGGAGGATTACCAACAGCTAAATTTGGGTGGCCATCATTAGGGAAGAACAAGCTGCCACAGGAATTCTCAGATTCATCAGTAAAAAAGCAAGGAATGCTGGAAATCATTGTGAGTGTGATTTGGTGCTGAGTACAACCAGGAAGACACAAGATAAAGGACCACTGAATAGCAACCTAAAGGTAAAACTTTACAACAAGGAAGACTGAAAAACAGGGAGTAGGTAGAAAATCATTTGTTTATGTAGAAGAGGGATCAGGATTGCAGAGGCTGAAAAGGAAAATGTCCACTGGAAATAAAGTCAAGTTCCTGAGATTGAGTGTTTGGAGTGAGGCAGAATCTGAGAAGGGAGAATTGGGAAAGCAGGTCATCCAGGAGTACAGGGATGCTCCTCCCTACTCCACCTCCTCACCTGGATCACTTTGTGAGGCTTCACTTTTCTTTCTCCTTCTCTCCATTTTACTGAACAAAAGAAAAATTGTGGCATATTTTGGCTTTTACTTTTGAATTTGCCTTAAAAAATACAAATTCTTTTCCCAATTCTACCAGTTGTAAGTTCCTATCCAGATACAGCTCTTAAATGATTCAATCTTGGGGTTAACAGCAAAATTATTAAATTCCTTGAATTCCATATTTCCATATAACTCCATGACCTCTGAACAACTAGTTCAGCTCAACGTTGAACAAACATAGCTTGAATACAAATGAAAAACTTTTTATTGAGTTAATTCATCTAGCAATATGAACATCAGTACCTGTCCAAAAGGCACAAAAGGAGGGGGCCCACCTTCGGTTCCAATATTGCTTCTATTGTGTTTGGATAAGCTCTGTGAAAAAAGTCAGTCAGAAAACAGAAATTACACATAAAAATATATTTGCGACATTTATAATATTCTAGGAATCTATTTCTTTGATTTTATATATTTTTCAAATTCGAGAGGCAGAGACAAGAGAGACAGAGAAAAACAACCAATCAGAGCTCCCATCTGCCCATTTACTCCCCAATTCTCTGCAATGGCCAGAGTTGAGATGGGGCCAGAACTCAATCCAAGCCTCCCACAGGGTTTCAGAAAGCCAGTTACTTGAGTCATCACTGACAGCTCCCAGGATCTGCAATGGTAGGAAGCTGCAGCAAGGAAGAAGAGCCAGGAATCAAACTGAGGCATTCTGCTGCAGGACATAGGCATCTTAACCATTAGGCTAAATATCTGCTCCCCTCTGAGTAGATTCTTAGGAAACAAAACAGGGGAGAGGCCTTTAAATTATTTTAACTACATAAAACACTATATTCCTAACTTTGATAATTAGACAAAGTCTCTACCTTAATCACCCCTTACCAAAACACATATTCACATTATGATTTTCACAAATATTTATCAAGCTATTCTCCTAAGGAGAAAACAGTACTCCTCAATAAGTGGTAAGTTTAAAAAAACTTTGGTAAAAAGAATTTCACTTTATTAAGTATATAAAATTTTAACCTAACAGACAAATATTATTTAGAAATTATTATCAAAATGAAGATTTGCGGTGGGTATTTAGCCTAGCAGTTAAAATGGCTGAATTCCATATCAGAGTACCTGGGTTCAATACTTAGCTCTAGCTCCTGACTCCAACTACCAGCTTCCTACTCTAGGAAGCAGTGATGGTGACACAAGTAATTGAGTCCCTGCCACCCATTTGTCAGACCCACTCTCTGGCTTTCTCCCAGCCCTGTACCAGGTATTGTGTACATTTGGGCAGTGAATTAGTGAATGAGTGTGTTCTCTCTCTCTCTCTCTCCTCTATCTACCCCCTCCTCTCCTGCCTCTCTGCCTCTCAAACAAAAAAAAGAAACAATTGAAGTTTTTAGACATAAAATGTATTAACATAACAACAGTGATAAAGGTTCTAACTATTTAGAGAGATCAAATTTTTATTGTCTAATATGAAGGTACTTTCAACTACAATAAAATTTATTTAATATTATGTTTTACAAAACAATATGTATTTGGAATAAATATTCAGCCAATGGAAAATTCTTTAATGGAAGATAAGCTTCCAAACTCTATTAATTTCAGTTTCTTTTTTCCTAAACTCTCAAAATTAAATTACAGAATAATGTTTTATGAAAATGGAAAGAAAATATCTTTGTAGCAAAAGCAGTTTCTCACACCTATAAAACCCTTTAGTATGTCATAATCTTCAGATCATTCTTCTATTCCTCCTGTATATTTTGGTTTTGAGGTACTATACATCTGTTAAGCAGTAGTTGTAACTCAACACATCTTCTCAACTTTAAGCTTTTCTTGTACATTTAAAATAATTATCATTATAGGAAATGTTAATTAAAATATGATATAGGGGGCAGATATTGTGGCTAGCGGGTTAAACTGTCACTTGAGATGCTTGCATTCCATTTCAAAGTCCTTGGGATCAAGTCCCATCTCTGTTTTTGATCCAGCTTCTTCCTGCTAATATACCTAGGAGGCAGCAGATGATGTACCAAGAATATACAGCGTGGCAGTCACTCAAAAGACGTCAAAAATAGAATTACCATATGATCCACCTATTTCACTTCTGGATATGGAAAACAATTAAAAGCACACACTTGAACAAATATTTATGCAGTCACATTTACAAAAGACAAAATGTGGAAATAACCCTAATGTCCATTGATGGATGATTTAAATAAATGTGATAAATATATGCAATGGAATTCTAATTAGCCTTACAAAATGAGGAAATTCTAACACACACTAATTATATGGATGAAACTTGAAGTTATTATGTAAAGATAAATAAGTACAAATACAGTATGCTTCCATTTACATGAGGAACCCACGATAGTGAAATTCATACAGACAAAAAAGTAAATTGACAGTTGTCAGAGATAGGCAGGAAGAAAGAATGTGAATTACTGTTTAATAGGCATAAAGTTTCAATTTGAGAAGATGAAAAAGAAGCGGAGGTAGATGGTGCTAATGGTTGTGCAACAATGTGAATGTACTTAGTATCATTAAATTTTATACTTAAAAAGTGGTTAAAAATGTTAAATTTTATGTTATCTATTCTTTGCCAAAATAAAAGTGAAATAGACAAAAATCTTTTTGAGTGCACCAAAATGATATAGAACTCCTTAGTCATGACATAAAAAAACACTTAAGGTTATAGGGGTTTTTTCCTTCTTTCAACTTTCTGTGACCAACTCACTATGTCTAAAACATCTGAATGTGATTACTATTGAATGCTCCTCCCCCTACTTTAAAAGAATGCTAGGGCTCCCTTACTTCCAAAATTATCTATGCATTATGATTCCTCGTGTACATCTGATTACTCTGCGTGCCAGCTGCTCAAGTACCTAACTGCCTCCTCCACTTTTCTTACATTGCTATGGTTACCACATCAAAAGCTTTTAAACTGTTTTAAATGTCAATTTTCATCACTCCTTTTTTTTTTTTTTTTAACAGGCAGAGTGGACAGTGAGAGAGAGAGACAGAGAGAAAGGTCTTCCTTTGCTGTTGGTTCACCTTCCAATGGCCACCACGGCCGGCACGCTGCAGCCGGCGCACCGCGCTGATCCGATGGCAGGAGCCAGGTACTTCTCCTGGTCTCCCATGGGGTGCAGGGCCCAAGCACTTGGGCCATCCTCCACTGCACTCCCTGGCCACAGCAGAGAGCTGGCCTGGAAGAGAGGCAACCGGGACAGAATCCGGCGCCCCGACCAGGACTAGAACCTGGTGTGCCAGCGCCGCAAGGCGGAGGATTAGCCTAGAGAGCCGCGGCGCCGGCCAATTTTCATCACTCTTAACAAGAAATACTAATGTGGCTTCCAGGAGGCAAAATGTGGAGACACTAAATGAAAACACTTCAAGGACAACTGTCAAACTACTACTTCTGTACAGGTATGTGTGCCTGTGTACATGTGTGTGTTAGGAGTAATGCAGTTCCTAAAAATTAACCCTTATTGCTGCTAGTGAAGTGATTCAGGAGGAATTATGGGAAAATTACATAAGATATTGATCTATCCTGAGAACATTTTACCATAAAAACTCCTGATAGCCTAGATCGTGGGGCCAAACTCCAGAGGAGGGTCTGGAGGGATCAGTGGTGGGTTTGTCTCCTTAGGGAGACCCATGGAGCTGATCTACGACCCTGGGAGAGCCACCCTGCCCAGTATTAGCTTTCCAACTCTTGAGAGGCCACTCTTGTGGTCTCAGGCAACTCTGGAATAAACAGCAGCCACACGTGGGTCATGGGGCCGCCTGTAGAAGACAGCCCAGCTGGTTCTTTTAAATGTCTGTGGCTGTTTTCCCGCTTGAAGAGCAGAGTTGAGTAGCCCTCAGTTATCACAGCCTGTTCTGGGGCTGATACCTGCCCTCACTGCTCAGTTGTCTGCATGTACATGGTGCTATAACACATCTTGGGGAGATAGCAACAAGCTGCTTATGTAAAGCAGAAAGTCTTTATTCCTTAGATAGGCATGCTGAAGTATTTGTAGGTCAAAAGGCACAATGTTAACTATTTGATTCAAAATACCAGCAGGTTAATCCTCTTCCTGCGGCGCCAGCATGCCATATGGGCGCTGGTTCTAGTCCCAGCTGCTCCTCTTCCAATCCAGCTCTCTGCTGTGGCCTGGGAAAGCAGTAGAAAATGGCCCAAGTGCTCAGACCCCTACACACCCACACAGGAGACCAGAAGAAGCACCTGTCTCCCAGCTTCAGATCAGCACAGCTCCGACCGTTGCAGCCATTTGGAGGGAACCAGTGGATGGAAAACCTTTCTCTCTGTCTCTCTCTCACTGTCTGTAACTCTACCTCTCAAATAAATAAATAAATAAAATCAAAAAAAAAAAAAAAACAGGATCAACAACCAAAACAAATGAAAAAGCAGGGGTGAAGATGAAAAAACATTGACAAAATGTAAGTTATTATTATTGAACTCTGTGAGAGGCTAAAATGTGTTCCTTATTCTATCCTCTACTTTGGTGTATGTTTCAAAATTTACATAATTAAATGCTTTTTACTGGAAAAGAGTGCTTTTAAAGAATAAGCTGGTGATTTCAAGACAACAGAATAGCAAGCAAGCTTACTGCTCTGGTTTAGAGGAAGACAGTTTAAAAAAAAATAAAAGTGGAGAGAGTGCAATCTCAGGAAAGAGTCAGGGAGAAAAGGGCAGAGGAAACCCCATGCAAGTTAGAGAGACACTGTGGATCTCCATGGAAGATGTGGACGCACAGCACCAACAGAGGCACAACACAGAACCCCAGGAGCCAAGAGCCTGAGAACCAGCTTTGCAGTGAGGGGAGACCAGACTGCAGCAGCCAAGCCACTGGCGATAAAGCTGTGGGAAGAACTTGGCATGAGTTCAGCTTGGAGCCTTGTGGGGGGACTATACCTGCCAACCTAAAGGGGAATAGAGAGGGCACAGTAAAAAGCGTTTCTGACTTCCTGACCACCCAACATCAGCGCCCTATAACTAGCTGAGAGAGGGCAGGTGCCATTTTGCACACATGTAACAGCTGTGTCAGCTGTGTCTGCAGGCTCAGCGACCAGCTGAAAGCAGATGATTGAATCTGGCAGGGAGAATTGACAGGGGGCTGAGTGGGTGCTCATGATTTTGGGAGCCTTGTGTGCTGGGACTGTGAAAATACTGTGGCTATATGGGAAGGCACAGGGTGTGGCTGGGTCTTTGGGCAGCCACCCTGGGCAACTCCACACCCTTGGGACTCCCTGATTTCATGATGAGTGTCACTGCTGCAGGATCCGTGCTCAGATAGAGGACTACACAGATCCTTTGTGTTGTGCTTGAAGCAGCACGGATGAATATTGCAGCCATTGGGGCTAGC